ACTCAACGAGTTCTCCTTCTATACATATATCCAATAGTCGTTCATTTGACTCGCTGAGTTGTATGAACAACTCGTCGAGTTCATCTTCATCTGATGAACACTCTGGTCCGTGACTCACCGAGTTGTATGAAAAACTTGTCGAGTCTGTTCTTGAGGCAAGAAGATTGCCTTGGACTCGCCGAGTCAGAGCATTGACTCGCCGAGTCCCTCCATTATTAAGTCTGGCTTCCGACTCACTGAGTCCACTTATAGCTCACTCATCCCACTCAGCGTAACTCAAAAGGGGAAAATCGGGGACTCGCGATTCGACTCGTCGAGTAGCATGCATGCAATTACTATATACTCGATTCTGCTTGAAGCCAACGTATTTCATTCATAGATCTGGGTTCTTAGGGTAGGTTTTACACGTAAAGTTTCCAACTTTACGTGTATTCATGCACCAAAAGGGAAATAAGAGGCTTAAGAAAGACTAGAAGAGTAGATCTAGGACTTATACACAAGTTAGGCTCATAAAGGCAATAGATCCGAGCTCCTAGAGCTCAATCATGCCTAGATCTGAAGTCCCTTAACACTATAAGCTCATTACTCAAAGATCAAGACTAGAAGAGGCCTTAAAATGACTATCTTAAGCTCTTAAGGAGATAATAATGAAGGAACAGAGAGGGTTTCGAGTCTAATACCTCTAGAAGATCTAAAATGGCATAAAGATTCTGGATCTTCTTCCTCTCCTCTTGATCTACCTTTTTCTTTTCTCCAAAACTTCAAGGAATTGCACCAAAAGCACTTAAATTACTAAAAGAAGTGTTAGGGCTTCGTGAGGGGTGTTGTGGACGTAATGGGGCTGTTATGAGGCACAAAAGATGTTTAAATAGGGTGCAAACCTTTGAAATTAGGGTTTCATCCAGACTAACGGACTCGCCGAGTCCAGGATATGGACTCGTCGAGTCACCAACTTAAACGTGCTCGATATCTCGTCTCTACTCGGCGAGTCGGGCCTACAACTCGCCGAGTTCCAGCTAAAAAAAGCAAAAATACTTAGATTAAAATACATACCAAGAACAGGTGCTACAGGGAACTCCAAGTTTAGTTGATGATGTTCCGATAGTGCATGAGTTCCCGGATGTATTTCCCGAGGAGTTGTCGGGTGTGCCTCCCGAGAGGCAGGTGGAGTTTCACATTGATTTGGCTCTGGGGGCAGCGCCTATCGCTAACGTGCCTTATCGCCTTGCAACACCATGTGATAGCATATGCATCAAGGCAGTTGAAGCCTCATGAGGCAAGATATCCCACTCACGATCTGGAGCTGGGAGCGGTAGTGTTCGCTCTCAAGATCTGGCGCCACTATTTGTACGGAGTTCGGTGTACCATTTACACAGACCACAAGAGTTTGAAGTATTTGATGGATCAACCCAACCCGAATATGCGGCAGAAGAGATGGTTGGACGTGGTGAAGGATTACGATTGTGAGATCCTGTACCACCCGGGAAAAGAGAATGTGGTAGCTGATGCCCTGAGTCATAGGGCAGAGAGTGCCCCGATACAAGGTATGTGTAAGAGAATGACCGTGATGACTCCGATGTTAGATACCATTCTTGAGGCCCAGGAAGAGGCTATGAGACCGAATAATCGCAAGAAGGAGCGAGTGTTTAGGCATGTATCTGAGTTTGGGACTGATAGCCGAGGGCTTATGACTTTTCATGGTCGGATTTGGGTGTCGTTTATAGGCAGGGCACGTAGTGTTTTGATGGAGGAGGCACATAGAACGAGATTCTCGGTCCATCCTGGGGCCACTAAAATGTATTTGGATCTGAAGAGAGACTATTGGTGGCATTGTATGAAGAGATTTGTTGCATGGATTGTAGAGAGGTGCTTGACTTGTCGTCAGGTTAAGGCCAAGAACCAGCGTCCGCATGGCAACTTGCAGCCACTTGAGGTTCCCCAGTGGAAGTGGGAACAAATTTCTATGGATTTCATCACTAAACTGCCAAGAACCCCAAGGGGTGTCGATGCAATTTGGGTGATTGTGGATCGATTGACGAAAAGTGCTCACTTCCTTGCTATCAGTGAGAGCTCTTCTACAGAGAAGTTAGCAGAAATATATGTGAAAGAGGTGGTGTCTCGGCATGGGGTGCCGATCTCGATTGTGTCAGATCGAGATGTACGTTTTACTTCCAAGTTCTGGAAGAAGTTTCATGAGGAGTTGGGTACGAGATTGCATTTCAACACTGCTTATCACCCTCAGACCGACAGTCAGAGTGAGTGGACTATCCAGACACTCGAGGACATGCTTCGGGCATGTGTATTAGACTTCAGAGGAAGTTGGGACACGTATCTGCCTTTGGTTGAGTTTTCCTATAACAACAACCATCATTCGAGCATCGGTATGCCTTCCTTCGAGCTATTATATGGAAAGAGGTGTCGGAATCCTATTTGTTGGGGAGACGTAGGGCAGCGTGTGATGGGTAGTACGGAGATAGTACTCCAGACGACTGAGCAGATTCAGCAGGTTAGGCAGAGGTTGCTAACGGCTCAGAGTCGCCAGAAGAGCTACACAAATAGGCGTCACTCAGAGCTCAAGTTTCGGGTTGGTGATTTCGTTCTCCTGAAGGTATCACCGTGGAAAGGTGTGATTCGATTCAGAAAGAGAGACAAGTTGGGGCCACGATATATCGGTCCATTCAGGGTGATAAGTAGGGTGGGCAGAGTAGCGTATCGTTTGGAGCTACCTGCCGAGCTGATTCCGATTCATGATACCTTCCACGTGTCTCAGTTGAGGAAGTGTATTGCCGATGAGTCAACAGTGGTTCCATTAGAGGACATTCAGGTGGATGCGAGCCTGAACTATGTTGAGAGGCTGATCACGATCCGAGATAGGAAGATCAAGGTTCTGAGGAACAAGGAAGTGTCCCTGGTTCAGGTCCAGTGGCAACATCGGAAAGGGTCCGAGCTGACTTGGGAACCGGAGTTAGAGATGCAGGAGAAGTATCCAATTGTTTGCAGAGCGAGACTTCGGGGGCGAAGTCTGATTCTAGTGGGGGAGAATTGTAACGCCTGGTTTCCCAGGTACATTAATTAATATTATAATTTGAATTGTGTTGAGGTGACTCGACGAGTTGGTGCTTAGACTCATCGATTCAGGTCGCGACTGGGTGACATGGAAAATGATTAGACTCGACGAGTTAGGGGAATGCACTTGCCGAGTCAGAACTAGCGAAAGAAACCCTAATTTCTCGGGTTTGAGACCTATTTAAGGACCCTTATAGCCACCATTTGCGGCTACCATACCCTTGAGAGAAACCCTAAGAGTGCTTGAGCGTTTGTGAGAGGAAAGAAGCCATTATTTGATCTTTGTGGGTTGGTTTTGCAAGAAGAAGGTGGTTCCAGCTTAGAGGAGGACAAGAAGGTTGCATATATGTGGATCTCGAGCAAAGAACATCATCCTTGAGGTAGCATATCAATCCTTTTTCTGTTTTGTTGAAGAATCCATTGATCTAGGGTTTTCTATACCCTTTATTAGGATGATTGTTGGATATATGGTCCCTTATCATGTTTAGACTTCGGATCTGGACCCATAGTGGTCCAGAGAGCTTTATCCATCTTGCTTTATGATGAGTTATGGAAGAATTGGGTTTAAGATGTTGTATTTGGGGCAAATGCTTCAAGTAGAGTTATTGGGACGATGCATAAGTATCAAGTTTAAACCTTTACGTGTTTATTGAGCTTGGGAAGGTCAGATCTATGGATTAGAGGAACACATCTAACCTCAGAAGGCCATTTGAGTTCGAGCATGGAATGAACTCGTTGAGTCCATGATCAGACTCGATGATTCGGACCGGGTTGTCACGTGACTCACACAGTTGGTGATTCGCCTAGTTGGGGGAACGACTCGATGAGTCAGTTGGGATTTAGGGGACTTGAGTTCACATCTGAACTCGCCGAGTCAGTGCCTGACTCGACGAGTTGGGTCAAAGGGTGGCCATTGACCAGAGTTGACTTGTGTTGACTTTAGGGCATTAGTAAAACTAAGTCGGAGAGGTATTAATTAGAGATGTATATATACCATAGGAGGAAGCTAGGTCGGAAGATTGAGCGTGAGCGATCATCCGGCATCTTCGAGGTGAGTCTTCTCACTATGCCTTACCCGATGGGGTAATTATGTGTGACCATAAGGTCTTATGTGTATGATGAAAATGTGATGTATGTTGTATATGTAATATGTTATGATATGAGTATGATGATATGGACCGGAAGGTCAACAGAGTTATGGGATGGAAATCCCCTGAGATACTTGGATCAGAAGACCCCATAGAGCTATGGCCTGGAAAGGCGTATGTGCTGTACGTGGTATTTTGGGGAACTTCCTAAGCATTATTGCTTACCGTTTGTGTGTTATGTGTTTTAGGTACCAGTGATGATTGCGGGAAGGCGCCAGCATGATCAGTACACACTTATGGTGGAGATGTTTTGAGATTCTGGGGATTTTGATTTGCACTTATGTTATGTAAAAACAATTGATACACGTTTTTGAGAATTGTGATTGAAGTATTTTTATTAATTTAAAATGAAGAATTGTTTTGAAATTTCACGGTGTTACAGTTTGAAAGTAAATAACGAATCACTCCGAGTGGGCGCAGTCACATGTACTCCAGGTAGGTCCCTATCTAAGTTTTAATATTTTATAAAAATTATATAGAAACTTATATTATGATATAATTCTATATGAGGAAATATGTAACTTTTGGTTTTAAATTCGCTACGACATGGAAATAAAAGATAAAAAGAATTAAGATATGTTTCATGGTCGAGTCGACAAATATTTTAAATATATATAATGTTAGTGTATATCATATCGGTGCAACACAATCATATATATCTCTATATATTTTCGGAGTCAAACAACAAGTTTTATGATGTTTCAATGAACTTATTGATTTTTTTGTTTAATTCTCTTAAATATAACGTTTATTAATTATAAGAAAACATATCCTAATTAGACAATACAAAAAAGTAATTGGCTGGACCAACATTTGTGTAGTTGAATGATAGATACATGTGTTCGTTCTAAAAAAAAAATTATAGATACATGTAAACATCACGATTGAAGGCATCAACAAAACCATTACGTGGACTTCTAAATTCCGCGTATGTAAGCGACAAATACATGTACAGCATCACGGCATCAACAACACCGCCGCAAAGAAAATAATGGGTCAGGCATTTCGTCGAGCATCTGGAAGGATCCGTACGCCTGCACCTCCATCATCATCGTCTCAGCTGAATAAGCCACTTGATCGTAGCCAACCGGTGGCTCCTGTAAACAATAATCTTCCCAGCGGTGGTAATGTTGACCCTATCTCTGGTAAGTGAGTTTTTAAGTTAAATTCTTACTTGATCTCAATTGGAGTCAACATTCGCTTGGACATTGAGTAATTCTGAAAGTTTGTGCCTCAAATTGACCAACGAATATTCAACATCGCCGATACTATATAAAGCATTGTGTATGCGCCTGTTATACATTTACAATATTCATTATAGAGAAGTAGCAAATCGTGTTAGGGTAGGGCAGGGTTGAGATTTTTATCACTTAGTTAGGGTTCTTCGTTCGTAAACTTTAACTAGAAGGTTCTTAATGATTAAGCTTTGGGGGAAGATATAGTACTTAAAAGGGGATTGTTAAGAAGATAAATCAGGGCAAATAAACTTAATTTCGGGTATCATAGTGTCATAATTTTTTTCCCTTCTGCTCTTTTTTCTGGGTTTTCGTAGGTGTGGTTTTCTTAGCTTCACAATTATCATTCTCTGTTTATAAGGCTGTAATTTTAGATACAAGCTGACTAATGGCAGTGAAATACCTTGTCAAATCCAGAGTTGATGTGATTTTGTTTTTAATTTGCATCTTTAGAACTTTGTTATGGATGATTAAGCATACAAATTCAGGAAGTCAACATATTACATGAGAATTCTATCATGTTTGAAGCTTATCTCTGACATTGTTTATGTAATTGATACTGTTTCCTGATGTATATTATGTCATTAGATGTTCCACCAAGAACCAGTGCTGATGATGTAATTGAGGAACGTGACTCTCAATATGATGCCATGCTTAACAAGATGGTTGGTCGAATTCAAACAAAACCTGGAGGGAAACTGGAGACAGGTGAGGTGAGTTGACAAAACTTGTTGGATATATTGCTGTAGATCACTAGATCTCCTCTCAACTCATTCTTTTTCTTGGAATGTATTGTATATCATCATAATATTGCTTTTAGGATTGAAAAATGAAAACTTTCATTGCCTTCAACTTACACTACTAAGAGAAACTTAAAACACATCTAATGATGCATAAGATTCACATGAAATAGTTGATGGAGGAATAAGATCTGTACGCCTTATGCCGAAATATCATCCATATTTGTTTGATTCGTTCTTTGTATATAGATGATTCTTTTGACTTGATGCAAAAAGTCAAGGAAATAAGACTTTCCCATTAAGTCCCAACCTTTTATAAAATTTCCCTCATTTATCTTAGAGAAAAAAAAAACCTTAAAAATACTATTTATGCAGGCATATGTGGTGGACAAGTACAATAGACCAATGCCAAAACTAAGAAACACAACTCCAGAATCGGGCAGATATGAACACAAACCAGCTGCCCCGGGCACCCTAAATGTAGGCCAGCTTCGCCACATCATCCTTTTATATCAAGGAAAAGCCGAAGACCATAATGGGCCTATGGATGTCAACCAAATAGCAAAAAGATACCGTTTAGATGTTTCTCAAGTTCAACAGGCTGTTCAGTTTCTTTCACTCCCACCAGAATTTCTCAATAAACCAAAACGGGATCCAAGGTAACCTTTTGTTTTTTTTTTTTTTTTTCTAGAAGATTGACGGATTATTATAGCATTGTACTTTTGTGGGCAGATACATATATTAAATAAAAACTCAGAGAAACTTGGATTTTTGTTGTGGTTCTAATCGTTATGTGATGTTTTTGCTTGTTTTTTAATCGGATTTATGGTTCCATATACAAAATACAAAAACCTGTTTGGTTGATAATTTATTGTTTTATTATATTTTAAAGGCAAATTGTGGGAAATAGCAATGTATTTTACTTTTGCTATTGATATGGGTAATGTACTTGTTTTCAAAGGCAAAGTGTGTTTCCGTTATGGGTAAAGAAATGTAATTACATTGATACTATATGTGGAAAAAAATGTATTTTAACAACATAGGCAAAAGGAGTAACTTGTGTCGCTTTTTTTTTTTTTTAACTATAAACTGCCCTGGTTTGAAAGTGGGTCGGATTGTAACCTTTTGAAATGAAATATGACTTGTTTTAAGTAGTTTTGGATTGGTTTTAGTGTGGACATTAAATGATCTGTATACCTTTAACCCAATACCCTTTTTTATAGAAGTTAATGACCATTTTGATATTTTTAACTTTTTAAATAATATTATTTTGGGGAGTGTCAGGACAACCATCGGTTCGATTTGGATATAATTAGACTTGACAAAACATGACACGACATGAAAACCCGATACGAAATTAGCGGATTAGGGTCAGAGATTTTGACACGTTAATGTAAACGGGTTGACAGGACATGATAATTAAACAGGTAGGGTTGGGTTAAGACTTTCAACTCGAAGATAACTCGAATATGACCTGTTTAATTATATATTATTTATTTTAAATTTCATATTTTTATAAATATATTATATGTTATAGACTTATAGTAGGCCAAACTCAAGAATTAGAAATAATATTCAAAATTTCAAAGTTACTTAATTTTACTCATCTTCACCACTTATCCCATTTGCTCCCCAGCTTCAACTCTTTTCATTTTGCCCTCTAAAATTACTAATTTTTTTTTTATTCCATCTCCTAACTCCAATGTTTCACTTTTTCATTTTTGCATTCATAACTCTTACTTTCCAACCTTTAACATGTTTCAAGCAGACATGACACAACATATTTACAAGGTCTAGGCGTTAACCTGAAACCCGACACGAAACCGACATGAAAATAAACAGGTTGACACGACACGACACAATAATTAAATGGGTCGTGTTAGGGTCAATCCCTTTCAACCCATTTAATGTCTAGACACGACACGAACCCGACACAACACGTTTGCCAGGTCTAGATTTAATCAAGTTGAATACCTAACTTACTATAAAGAAGTCTATTAAAAGATGTCCACACTAATAAGTGATATATAAAAGGAATAACAATTTAAAAGAGTAATATACTTTTCAATTCATATATATTTGGTTACTAATGTTTTTCGTCTGTATTTACTCATTCAACTTGTTAAACTGCACATATTCAATCCTTATGATCGGCTACTACAGGTAAGCCGGAAAAAATTGACTTAACAATATAATATATTTTTCACTTTGTATACATTTAGTCCTTAATATCTTTGTTGTTTTTGTAAACATTCAGTATTTATGACCAGTTTCTTTAAGTTTTTCTTACGGCATCCTACATGGGATAATAATTAATAAGTTGTTCGGGGTTGTTGATGTTTATGGTCACTGCAACCTCAATTTCTTAGGTCTTATGGTTTGATTGTGTTCTAAACATCATAGGTTCTTCATATGATCTCAGATTTTAACGATCTTTATATCCGCGCATTTGTATTTGAGTCTACTACAACTTTCTTTAGATTACTCCCGTTAAAAAGTAATTTATTTTTACTTATGATCTTTATATCAATGCGTTCTTTATGAATGTATGTATGAATGTTTTTTTATAAAATCGTAAGTAAAAATGTATTACTTTTTAACGAGATTAATCTATAAGCGAAAATTGTAGTAGACTCAAATATGAACGCGTGGATATAAAGATCGTTAATGTAACACCCATCCAACCAGGTATCTCCATTATTATCTAAAGTATAAAAGATTGTTACAAAAGTGGTCCTTACGTCGTGTGTACTTGGGGTCTACACATGGCGTAATTCATTAAAAGGAACGTAGGTCTTCATGAGCACGTTGGGCGTACTCAATAGGTACACAAGGCGTACTCCTCAATTGTGTAAATCGCAAACCCTAAATCTGGGGCTTTGAGCCCTATTTAAGCAACTTAACCCTCATCAATCCCTTCCACCTTCAACCTCCATCCTCCCAAACGAGCCCTTGCAAACCTTAATCTCCATTTGAGAGTTTTTGAGTTTTTTTTTAGTGTTTTGTGTTCATCCTTGAAGGAAGGAGTCCATTGGAGAGTATTTGAGGAGCATCAAGCTTTATGAATCTGGAACTTTGATCTCATTAGCAACCTTCAGAATGTAGAAAGTTATGAACTTGATGAATACTTCATCAGATCTTGCTAGTTCTTGAGTTTTGTGCATTTTGGTCCCATAATCTTGTTGTATGTGAGTATGGCCTACACTAGACCAAATGGGTTGTCCTTTCAAATGTTTTGGAGCGTTAGTGGTCATAAAAATGTGATCTTGATCCTTTCCTTTCACCCATACATGAGTTATAGGGTTTAAGAGCTTGTAATAAGTTAGGGTTTTGGTTTTAAGCTCCTTCTAGCCATGCAAGATCATAAAGTTGGAAACTTTATGATTTAAGAAGGAATTTGGGATTAGATATGAGTCCTAGTCGTAAGGTTTTAAGGAGTTAAGTGCTTAATATGAAGGTTTGCTTCTGGCCTGAGCACATTGGACGTACCTAGTGGTATGGATAAGCTGGTTTCCTAAGATAAGTCATAATCCTTTAACTTCCTCCTAAAGGCATCCAAGACTCCCTTAATGCCCAAGGAAATCATAGAGCCTTTCTAGAATACCCCCCCCCCCCCCCCCCCCCCGCGGTTTAGGGAGGTTCTAGAATTGCCTGTGTTCAACTTTTGAACATTTTCACCTTTTGTTCTTCTACTTTTAATTATTCCAATTAGTCCCAAAAAGTAATTCTAATTAATTTCTGATTAATTTATAATTAAACAATACTATTTCTAATCAATATATTATTCATATAATATATGAATAAATTATTTATTTTGATTTCTAATTATTTTATTAATCATATAATAAATTAATAAATTAGCCTCTCTCTCTCTAAAAGTCATTTTATTCAATTATTAGGTTTGATGTCAACCCAGAAGGACTTTGCTAATAATTCAAGTATGTACTAATTCAGCTATTGGTTTAGACACCTAATCCAACAATCTCCCACTTGGATAATCCTATAACTACAATTTCCAATATATTTTCTAAATTAGATAGCAAAAAGTGCTTCCATAGCAACCGCCGAACGCTGAACTAACCAGATGTTAGCCTAAGATAAGTGATCAAATATTCTTCCGTTCTTCAAGATATCGTATAAACATGATACATGGATTAGAATCAATCTCATTGTCCAAGTTTTGTTTCCTAATTTATGATTTGTGATGACGACATACGACTTTAAATTGAACACATCAATTGAGTACTGGCTAGTCCCATCACCATAAGTTAATGCCAAATCACCAAGGGACCCAAAGATATTGCTTTTCGCGTTATGGCAAAAGAAACGAATAAACTTTGACTTATATGCTTGTATCTTTTACTCATCAAATCATACATGATATTGCGTTTTATAACATCATGTTACTGATGCGTTTTCACAATACCAATGCACAACCGACTTGTAAATTACAACTCATATATCTTCGTTTTAAAAATATAAAATATTATCGTCTCAGAATTACTCGTGATATAATCCATGAAGTAATTCCCTGAGTATGGGTTTATCCAATACTTAAATCTCCATTTCTAAGTACTCATGAATGTTGTAGCAATACAATTACTATGTATAATTCGCTTAGACAATCTACAATCTAATTCATGACAGTTTTAATTCACTACTTACTTCCCAAAGTATGAGTGACTGTGGAATTTTAATAATTATATTATCCGGGAAGTAAAACATGCAAAACGAAACATAAGAATAAACAATTGACAAAGGTAGTAATCAAACTCATAAATAATCTCTATTATTTAATCACCAAAATCAATTACATTTATTTTGTTACAAGTTTCAAACTAATCATCTAACTACTAAAACTAATGTGATCTCTCAAACCAATGATTCTAGCATGTTGACTATGCTTAATCTTACTTAGAGCCTTTGTGAGAGGATCTGCAGGATTATCTTCTGACGAAACTCTCTTCACTATGAGATGACCTTCTTCAATTCTATGTATGATATAATGATACTTTTTTTCGATATGACTTGATTTTCCATGTTCTCTCGGTTCTTTAGTCAAAGAAACCACACCTTCATTATCACAGAGAAGTTCCATTGACTCCTGAATGATCGGAACTACTCTGAGATCGCCGATAAAGTTATTCAGCCAAGCCGCTTCCTTTGATGCTTCACTTGTCGCTATGCAATCTGATTCACAAGTAGAATCAACCATCGTATCTTGCTTGGAACTTTTCCAAGAAACTGCTCCACCATTTAATGTGAACACTCAACTAGATTAAGAACGAAATTTGTCTCTATCTGTTTGAAATGTGGCGTCACTATACCCTGTCCCTCTCAACGTATCACCGCCACAAAGAACTAGAATCATGTCCTTTGTCCTTCGTAAATACTTGAGGATGTTCTTAATTGTTGTCCAATGAGATCTGTCAGGATTTCCCTAATAGCGACTGACCATGATCAAAGTAAAGGATACATCATTGCGAGTACATGTCATAACATACATGATCAATCCTAGAGCTGAAGCATAAGGGACTCGATTCATATCATCTATCTCTTCATCCGTACTTGAGCTTTGAGTATTACTCAATTTTGCATTGCTCCGAATAGGTAGCTCTTCTCTCTTGGAGTTTTCCATACTACACCATTTTAGTACTTTGTCCAAGTATGTACTTTGATTAAGTCCAATTATTCTTTCTTTCTATCTCTCAAAATTCTTATCCCGAGAATATAGGTTTCTTCTCC